TAATACCACGACCACACAGAAGACAGGCGTGATATGGAAGCAATTCCGTGTTTCGTCTGATGAGTGTGGTGCCGGAGGCCTAATTTAAGTCCTCTTTACCATCCTTTTCTTATAAGGACAGGATGGGAAGAAGAAGTGGATTTGACGGTGGAGGAGATGCCTAGGAAGGGGAAATGTCCTCTTTATGTACGTCTCCTCCTCCGTCGGATAAGGGTAGGCAACGCATCTGCAATTGCGGATGTCTATGGGCAGCGGTCGCTTCGCCATTTTGGCAGATTCAGATGGCCGGTTGCTCGTTTGCCACCATATGTTATAAAAAAAAATTACACATATTAGAATGAGATTTAAAGGTTCCATAATTTCTTATCAATTAATATAATTACAGTGAATTTCTTTAACATTTAATACACCTTTTAGATATCGAAAAAAGTAGACAAAGACATAAAAAATTAAGACGTAACTCCGCCATTAAGTATAAAAGAAACTTTCCACTGATAAAAGGTTCTCGTCGTTGGAAACTTGTAATGCAATTATTATTTAATTCAATATGATCTTTGGACCCTTCTTAAAATATTTATGAGAGAAGATACTATAGACCAATACCAGACTATTTATTCCAAATATGTACATGTACATTGAGTTAGCAATTACGAATTACGACTTAAATTATGCCGTAGGAGGTACTCAATTCGTCTGTATGTTTTTTTTATGTGTGTACATACCTCCTTCTTTTGGGAAGTCGGTCAGAAAAAATATATTTACGTACTCTTATGATCTCTATTAAATTTAGCAAGCAGTCAACTATGCGGTTAAAAACGTAGTAAGTACACAGAAATTTTTATCAAACGACATTAAAATATTTCTTCATTGAATGTCAAAGCGACTCAATGATTTCATTTTCTTTCACCTCCCTTTGCCAATAAAACTTGAAAGCGAAGCCGTTATTAATATCTTTATTACTATATACCTTGATTCATTCCCTTGAAACACTTTTAATGGTACATAAAACGGACCTTTTGACTTTTAATAGCAAAGTGTTCTAAAGACATTTGTGCAACAAATATTTAGTAAGAAAATATTAATGTTTCTCAGGTCAAATAATTGGAACTTTTTCCTCCTAGGATTTAATTTAAATACCTGTACAATAAAACTTTATGATTCAAATCTATCTTTCTAATCTATATTTACATATTTCTTTAATAAAAAGCCCTACATTTACCATACGCTTTATATGTTCACGCTATTAAACTTAGGGCGTAAATAAATTGGAAAAACCATTCATGTGGGAAAGGGACCATAGACTTCAGGCTGACATTAAGGAAGCAAGGTTGTTATGGTAACGGTAATTTTGACACTTGCAATTGAGAATTTGACAAATGTAAACAATAAAACAAAGTTTTCATAATTTAATACGGATGAAACCGCACGAGAATAGATAGTTGCATAATAATCATTAAAAACAAGGATAACATATAAAGCTTCAACATTAAGTTCTAGAGCTTTTGTGCTCAAAGTTAATCTCAATTGTTTGCAGATAAGCTCGTTAGAAAACTTTGTACTATTGTTTGAGTAGGAAAAACTTAGTTTATTCCATTGTGGTGTAAACTATCTGATCTAATTAATGTAAAAGTTTCTTAAGACGAATGGCCGGCGATGTGAATTACTTTGAAGAATTGCCTTTAATATAAGGAAATATAAATCAAGGCGATGGGATTGGAACGAAAAGGTTTTCGAAAACTTGACGATCAGATTATCGCTCTTTTGTTTTCTATTTGCAATTAGATTATAGCAACTTCCATTTATGTAATGAACGTTTTAATTAATTAACACTTGTACTGTATGCTTGGGACATCCGCTCCCGTCGGTGGTTTGGACACGACTGACTTGCTAGCATGACACCATGACACAAGTATACAGTGTCGCCATACATTACAACATTGTAATAGAAATAGGAAGATTTTTATTGAAAAATAATAAATTTAACAATTACAATTACATTTATACTTAAAGCTAATTACAATTTGTGTTAATCTGGTGTTGCCCACACTAAGTATTCAAAAGTAACAATCTTTCCTTACATTAATTACTAAAAACCTACGCTTAAGCTACGCTACCCTTAATACATAGATTGTCAACATTTTGATGTCATCACCAGCTCACTATACGTCCCCACCGAGCGACTCGGAGCCTACCTAAGTTAGGGTGACTAGGCCATAGTCAACCACGCTGTCCCTGTGCGGGTTGGTTGACTTCACACAATATCTTTGAATTGCTTCGCCGATAGGTTGCATCACGATGTTTTCCTTCAACGTAAGAGCGTCGGGTAAATTATGTACATATAAAATTTTCAAAAAATTGAAAATCATGGTCGGATTCGAACCCAATACCTGTAGATTATAAGGCAAGGGCTTAAACCACTGAGCCACCGAATATCTATGTTTATACGTGATTTATCACAATCAAATCATATTTCTTTTCACACACCTCTATAGTTAAACACTTTTACAGGTGCTTATTGATGTTTTGAATACAACATGGTCGTTTCACTATAAATATGTATCGACACTACTTTAGGTATAAATACTTGATTGTTTATTAATCTATGTCTCATCTTTCAAGCCTAATGTTTCAATTACCGTTATTATCCCATCCACAGCATGCAAAAATCCATAGGTAAAATATGCTTGTCCTAATAGAAACAAAGTGGGTCAGGGACTCGCGGCCTCTTTATGATTTTACAGACATTATAAAGATTGCCCCACAGCGCCATGAAATGTTCAGCTCGGTTGAAATTACAAGTATAGTACTGGGCGAAGTTATCACATCGAGCAGAAGTTACCCACTTGCCAAGTTAAATCGATTCCCATGTATAAAATTGCCTATACATAAATCTAGCTTTTATTTGTAGGCAGGACAATACCCCCGTATAATGTAATTTGTGAAGTAGACGCTCCTAAATATGCCAGAGTTTTGTTACAAACAAAAAGTAAATTTAAATCCTTAGGGACTAAGTTTTTTGAGAGTGAACTTAACTCGAATTACTTGGAGCGTTTTCTTGTAGGCCGATGTTTGTCTATATATTGTGCAGCCGACTGTACATTCCAGTAGAGCCATCCATTAGGTACTGCCTTTGTTACGTCACATTGTTAGCTACCGGGAATGACTTTGATCTGGCCCAGTTGCAGTTCTGCTTTATCGTGTATTACTGTTACAGTTGTATTTTAGGTCGGTGAGTGGTGTATTTTGAGTTGAGTATAGCAGTCCCTTAGGCATTGGTCGTTAGATTAGTGATGGGACGCAATTCTCAGAGATCTTTTAATACAAGTTTGACGTATTAGTTTGACGTACGACAATACTGATGTTGTTTATCCCTACAAATGACCTGTAAAGGTCTTTTTTATTCTCAGTTTTGTCCGGTTTAGGTTGCTATAGGTTAATCTACAAAAACACTTTAAAGGGATTGTGTCTTAAGCAATCACCAACAGTACTTTTAAAGATTTTGTACGCATTAAGACCCGTAGTAATAACCAAAACGAGCATTTTGTGTGAAAAAAAGAACAGTCAGTGGTGTACATATAATTGTTTTTTCTATCTAATTGGTTATTTGTAAAAAGAATTTGAAATTTACTAATTGTGGCATATCGTGGATTTCCTCGATTGTACAGTTGATCAAGCATTTTGATTTGTAATAACATCTGAGGCAAGTTGACTGGAGCAAGTTCGAAGGCGATTGCTACACCGCGCTCCGACTGCTAGCAAATTGCTTTGCAAACAACGTGACGTTTGATTATGCGTTCAGAATGTTCTAGATATTTGAAACAAATAGCCTAAAATTAGAATGAGACAGCATGAAATCTCATGTGTTATGACAAAAACCAAAAAATCTTTGATAAAGAAAACCGAGGTAATATGTATAAATAATAAATATTTCAATTTAAAAAGATATACATTATGCAATCCTGCGTTTTTTCGTAAATAATTTGAATTATTCGTTAAATTATTATTAAGTTAAATGGATTGAAACTCTTTAATTAAACTTTGGAATTCATAATCAACGGATTGTTATAAATTAGAAAGAAATCGGACTCCAATTTATAATTAAAAATCTTATGAACTTTCTCACTACGAGAGAATTTCTTGAATACGATTTGTTCGCGAAAGCATTGTTATAGAAATAATATAGACATTTTATTAAAAATATGGATAATTCATTAAACTGTGACAATTTTTTTTATAATAAATCGTTAGTAGTTTCAACAAAACTGTTCATTTGTTTTAAACAATTTTTTTACAAGATTGATATCTCTGTTTTACCTTCTCTTAGGTAATATCCTTCAAAAGTTATGAATATACTCCCTGACTATTAAGTAACTAAATTACATAGCAACTGTTAGTCTGATATGAATTTCAAATAGATGATATCTGATCCAAAGTAAACAGGTGAACTTTGTTGAGGCGAGGGACAGGGAGACAAGGGGGAGACGAAGTCAAAGGAGTGAACGGCGCGGAACGGGGAGGTTTCTGTGGTGCAATCTACTACGATAACGACGGTACGAAAATGCAATATGAAGACTAAAGAAAAGCTAAGGAAATTCAAAATCGTACGGTTTATTAAACCGACGTAAAAGAAAAATGTTGTTAAACAAAAATACATAAGTTTATATAAAAAAAAGTCTTATCTAACTAATCAAATAAATATTATAATATAATCCAGTAAGATATTAAAACAAATAAAACATTTTCTTTGCATATTACCATCAGTGGTGACATGAATTATACTTTGAAACAAAGCCGACATCAACAGAAATTATACATTCAGAATATAAGACGTAAATCTCAACCGAATCTTCCTTTCACCGACTTAACATTATCCCATAAAGTCGGGATACGTCGTAATCCTTAAGTCTCGAATTGTGGAGTCAGTGTCCCTTTGTATTATTAATGTAATGTAATTCTAATCTTACTCTTACTAATATTATAAATGCGAAAGTTTAGATGGATGGTTGTTTGTTAGAGTTTGTAGCCTAAACTGCTGAATGGATCTCAATGAAATGGCATAGATGTAGAGCATAGTCTGGAAGGATACATAGGCTACTCACTTTTTTAATTCTACACGGACTGTTTCGCGGACGATAGTTAATCAAATAATAAAGATTACATTTTTACATACAGAAATTTCTAAGAAATTAAATGCGTAAAAACGGGCTCAACTCTGCCATCGGGACAGGCTGAAAACCAGCTCCACATGACTTAGGCCATGCGGGTCACGTTGAGCCTGCAGCCCATTGTTGTCAATTTATGTAAACATTAGTACATAAGAAACTGTATCCTATATTTTTAGGACAACAATAAAGATGTATTTATTTATTTTATAACCCATCCCATACACCATTTCCTCGACGTTTAAAAATCAAGAGTATTTAAAACAATCATATTCAATGTTAAAATTGTCATTTTTCACTTTGTGAGAAACAGAGATGTTTATATGCAAATGTTTTAGTAGTAGAAACAAAACTTAAGCCTGGTTTTGTTTCTGTAACGAGCAGAGCAACAAACCGCAAACCACATCACTAATAACGTCCAATGTCCGACCGGACAGATCTCAACGTTGCATTTATTTCCTACTTTTATCCAAAGCTACTCTTTATATATCTCTAGCTATCAGTAGTAGAGCCCGCTTTAATATCTTCGCACGAATCTGCCGGCACGCCCGGTGAAATACCACGACCACACAGACGACAGTCGTGAAGTGGGAGCAATTCCGCGTTTCGTCTGATGAGTGTGGTGCAGGAGGCCCAACTTTAATCCGTTTTCCTTCCCACCCTGATACCTATACGACAAGATTGGGAAGGGAACGTGGATTTGACGGGGCAGGAGACGCATAGGAAGGGAAAATATCCTCTTTATGTGCGTCTTCTCCTCGATTAAAGGTAAGCAACACATCCCCTATTGCGAATGTCTATGAGCAGCGGTCGTTTCGTCATTTTTGGCGAATTCAGGCGACCGCTTACTCGGTTGCCACCTTATGATATATTTTTTTATACTTAAATAAAATCTACATGCATTCGCAAAAAACATACTAAATAGATCGTATAACTATCATGAATTGTATGCTATCGTCATAATCTACTTAATTATAGTCAATCCCCTTTCCTGTACTGCTTTTATAAGGGAAGGATGGGAAGATGAAGTAGAATTGAAGATGTGAACACATAGGAAGGGAAAACATCCTCTTTCTGTGGGTCCCACTTCTTGTAAATGTAGGTAAAGCATCTTCTAATGCGAATGTCTATGGGCAGTAGTCGCTTCTCTATTTCAGCGAATTTAGGAAGTGACTGTCGTTTGTCACCTAATGATGTATTTGCCTGCATAATACGAGGCCGTTGCAAAATAACACACGCAAAGGAAACTCACGTAAACACAATAAACAATAACGATCTAAGTAGATGTTTCGATATAAATTATGATGTCCAATGTAATCCATTAAAGCCAATAATGTAAAGTTCTCTAATGCATATAAAAATGTTGAACCTTAATTTGAAAGCGAAATTGCAGCGAGGGACACAATCTTCATAATTTGTAATGGCCCATAAAATCTCAAATAACATCCGCCCTCGTCCCTGACCCACTTGCCTTGCCTTGCCAGCCGTTGTACACGCCTTCGACATTTAAATGATGCCTTTTACAATTTCGACCTTTAATAAAGCTATAATGTAATAGGATTCTTCTACATTCAAAGACAGTCTTAAGTCAACCTATATAATAATACGCTCCCATTTCTATATTTGAAATATATGGCTTTACAAAGTAAAACAAACTTTTTTAATTTTTCTACGTTTGTATTAGAGCGGCCCAGGATTATGTCAACAGAAGAGAAGCTATGTAGGTGTTGTAGATATTCATGTCAATTATTACTGAAATGAATTTTTTTTTGTAAGCACTTTTTACAGCCTATAACAGCGACATCTAACCCCAATATAGTCAATCCTTCACATTGGTTTAGTTATTAATCCAGAATAGATGTCGCTAGTTGTTTTATAAACTTCAACACTTTTTTTTTATAACAATATATATCACTTTAAACGGGTTTTATTTTATTTTTTATTTTTATGCGTCAATATCACAATACAAATTAATTTACATTTTACATTAATTCAGTAAGTTTCCTGTGCGTAGTTTACTTACGTTATTTTATTCATTCATTCATAGACTATCACTTCTGGAGGCAATAATCTACAGCCATGAAAATTCACGGCTAAATAATACGTGTACAAACAAGGTACACCAATTATCGAGTCATGCATTATTGGGCTGTACGATAACGGTAGCGGGCTGATAATGGACGACCCGATATCCGATGTTGCGTAGCTGAATAATTGGAAGACAACATGGCGGCATAAAATCTGTCAATCCCATCAGCAGCATATAATTCTCTATGATCGTGCTTCGTTTACACCACTTGCCAGTGACTGATGAGAATTAGTTGAAACATGAAATCGCGAATTTTTAAATTTTCGAAATGTATCACAGATCAGAATTGGTTCAAAAGTTTATTTAATGGCTTATCAGCGTGCTCTCCAGTGGTGGACCAAGACTAAAGGTATGACAAGTAATTAAACTTAAATTATGTTAAATAACTGTCTCGCGATTTCTTAATTTATTATTCATCATTTTTGTTGAGCTGTTTAATTTTTGTTTGTGAGTTTTAATATTGCCAATTATAGTTTTACCGTGTTTACTTCTACTATTTTATTTAGATTAATTAAGCAATAACGTTAAGGCATAAGAAAAAACAACGCGGAAATAAGTAATATTTATTATTATTTCTTTCTTTCTTTCTTTCTTTCTAATATTTATTATTAAATTGTTCTTTTGGACAGATTATGTTTGCAAATAGTAGTCTCTTGACAAACATGACTTTAGTATTCTTCTGTATTTTCCATTTTGCATTGAAATTTTCACAATGTCGTAACTTCAACTAAACCAAATTCAGTGGCTAATTTGCATTGCAAGTGGTGTTAAACGAAGCACAGCCATAGAGAATTACTCGCTGCTGATTGGCCGATGGGATTCTGACAGATTTAATGCCGCCATATTGGCTTCCAATTATTTAGCCGTGCGTGCATTATCGGGCCGTACAGTAACAGTACGGTGTGATAATTCAAAATAAGTGATAATATTGCACGGCGAAATAATGCACAGTCAGATATTCCGTGTACAAATAATGGGATGTTAGTCCACGGAATATCTAGTACATTATCATGCTAATGAGAAAAAATAGCAACGACAATCGACATTGACAGAAAGCTAGATTTTAAATTGTTTACAATTCACAGTAAATGTGTGTTTAACATTTTATTTCTTAAAATCACCTGGAATGGATATAGATGAAATTGTTCTTTCTGAAAATCATAATGGTACTTCCAATGACTATGGAATCACAAATAGTTCAAACGAGCATTATCAATATGAATATCCCAAGTTATTCAATAGCAAAACATTGTTGGAGCTCTGTTACTCTTCAGCTGGAGTTCCAGCTCTAAAAAGCAAGGAGGACGTTCAACCGTATTTGCGTGGCTGTAAGTGGTCACCAGATGGTACGTGCTGTCTGTCTGTTGTAAATAACGATGGAGTGCATGTAACTGAGCTACCGCGAGATCTTTACTCGGGTTCTGTGGATTCTAAACGCAAGATAGATGTCTTAGATCCCGTTATTCATGTAAAGGAATGTGGACTTATTTATGACTTTTGTTGGTACCCCGGAATGAACAGTAGTATTCCAGAATCATGTTGGTGAGTTTTAAATTGTTTTTATTAGTTAATTACTACAATTTGTTTTAATTTGTTGCAGTAGATTAAAATTATTAATACAGTAGAAAAAATTTACAGTGGTAGAGCCCCTTTAACATCTTCGCATGAATGAGCCGGCTCACCCGGTGTAATACCATGACTACACAGAAAACAGGCGTGAAGTGATAGCAATTCCGCGTTTCGTCTGATGAGTGTGGTGCCGGAGGCCTAATTTTACCTTTCCACCCTTTTCTTAAGAGGAAAGTATGGAAAGGAAAAGTGGATTTGATGGTGGAGGGGACGCATAGGAAGGGGAAATATCCCTATATATGGATGTTTATGGGCAGCGGGTGCTTTCCATTTTATTCAGGTGGCCGCTTACTCGTTTGCCACCTTAAAAAAATTGTAATGTTTTCATCTGTGTTCCTTACAGTTGGATAACAACAAGACAGAATGCTCCTATACAGATGTGGGATGCTTTTGATGGCTCTTTAAGATGCTCTTATAGAGGATTTAATGCTGTTGATGAAATGGAACCGGCTATATCAGTCACATTTAATAATGAAGGAAATAGAATCATAGGTGGATATAAAAAAGTTTTAAGGACTTTTGATGTGGAAAGGTAAGAATCAAATAATTAATTAATGTAAAGGTTATACTTGCTTATCTTAAGTAACAAATTATTAACAGTTAACAAAATAATTACAAAACATGGCTAACTCATTTGAGCAATTCGGTATAGGCACCAATAGTTTTAAACAGGGATGACCGGTGCGACATACAGAATTGGTTACTTGAGTTAAGCCCTGTTTTTATCTACCAATACTAATATTATAAAGAGAAAAGATTTGTAGTTTTGTATGTATTGAAATAATTCAAGAACTACTTGGCCGATTTTAAAAATTCTTTCACCGTTAGAAAGATAAATTATATGTAAGTAACATAGGCTACATTTTTTAATTTCACGTGGGCGAAGTCGCGTGCAACAGCTAGTAATTAATTTAGTGTAATGTCTCACAAAAGTTTTACTAAGTTAATTAATAAATTCTAAAACATATTTTGGAAAGGTATTAAAAAAAATCAATCTTCAACAGTAGTACATTAAAGCATGTATATATTTTTTTGTTTACAGACCTGGCAGAGACTATGCAGAGCATAAAATAAATTCTCCTGCATCATGTTTTGCTACAAGCGGCAATCTCCTTGCTGTTGGCTCTTGGAATACGACATTAAGTCTCTTCAATGTAAATGAAATAGGCAATTATAAAAGTATAGGAAAAATGTATGGACATACAGGTAATGTAGATTTTTAGTTTTATCTGTAATAATAAAGAGGAAAGATTTGTATTATTTGGATTTTAGTATGTAGTAGCTTTCGTTCGCGACTCAGTCCACGTGGAATTTAAAAAAACAAAAGTTAGTAGCCTATGTGTTCTTCCAGACTATCCTCTACATCCATATCAAATTTCATCGAAATCCATTCAGCCATTTAGGCTACAAACTCTAACAAACATCCATCCATCCATCTAAATGTTTGCATTTATAATATTAGTATGATTGAAGTAACTCAAAAACTACTGGGCGGATTTTAAAAATTCTTTCATCAATTACTATTAGTTGTAGCTATCTACATGATGACTGATTAACATAGGCTATGTTTTTTTTATTTCCGCGTGAATATAAACGCGAGCAATAGCTAGTCATATATAAATTCAACTCAATTGTAGATTTTAGTAAGATTACTTATTTTGTTATTGTAGCTAAATATTTTTGTAAATATTCTCGTTCAGCCATGTTCTTAATAATTTTTTCTTTTTGAATTGAAATGTGTTTATAAATTTGTAGAAAACAATTTTAGGAGGAGTAACCCATATGAAGTTTGCAACTGATGGCATCAGATTGGTGTCAGGTGCTCGGAAGGACCATAGACTTTTAATATGGGACATAAGATATTATAAAACTCCACTTAATGTGTTAACAAGAGCAGTAGATACAAACCAAAGAGTTTACTTTGATATATCACCATGTGGTAAATATCTTGTCTCTGGAGGCACTGACGGTTTGGTAAAAGTATGGGATGCTAATAAAGTCAATTGGCATTCAAGTTTGGATGTCACAGATGGAGATAAATATAATGTGACATATACTGTAAGTATATACATTGTTTATCATACTAATATTATAAATGTAGGTTTGATGGATGGATGTTTGTTAGAGTTTGTAGCCTAAACTGCTGAAAGAATCTCGATGACATTTGGTATAGGAGTAGAGCATAGTCCGGAAGAACACATAGGCTTCTTGCTTTTGTTTTTTTAATTACATGTGGACGGAATTGCGGGCGTAAGATAGTATACTTTAAAATGTTTATGTAAAATAATGTACTTGTTAACAAGCAACTCACCCTGTTCACATGGGTCCAATACTAAGAGGAAGATGCGTTTGTTTATGATATTACACTAAAAACATTTAAATTTGTCAGTATTTTTCTATTATATTTAATATGTATATATAAATGTTCCTCTTGAATCACTCTAACAAACTACATCAAAATCCATTGCATATTTTTAAAGATATATACATAGGGACAGACAGACAATGGAAAATGACTTTGGTTTTACTACAAACAAAGCACTTTATTTGTCTATATTTATACTGTATTGAAGTAACTCAAAAAACACTCCATGTGGACGAAGTCGCGAGTAATAGTTAGTTTTAGTATATGTTCGTCAAACTGGAAACCTTTAATCTCCTATCAAAGGAACATTACCCTTTTTAAACTTCTTAATAGCTTATGCACTGGGCTTTGATACATCTATTGGTTTTTATCAAACTCAGCCAATGTATTCAAGTTTTTTTTTTCAGTTTCCATTACACAAAGACTGTTGTAACAGTGTGTCTATACACCCATGTCGACCGATATTAGCTACTGGTTCAGGACAGTATCATTTTAGAGATCCACTAGCAAAATCCCAGGATGAAGAAGTTATTGACAAGGATAAGCATCAAGATACTAAAGTCGATATAGATATGAAGTATTCAAATGAAACAGAGAACAGTTTAGTGTTCTGGTGGATTGGTGATATTGATTTATAAATAATAGTGTGTCTAAATAATTTAGATTAGTTTGACAATTCATTTCAAATTTAGTAGGGATGGGTTGTGTTAAATCAGTCAGGTATCTTATCGATTTTCGATTTTTATTCATTTAGAAGTTGGAATCGATAGATTTATAGTTATAACTTATGAAATAAAAGAAAAACACTGTTTTCTCAAATTAATAATGACCATTACAAATAATGAGAGTAAATGTTTATTACTATTACAGCCGTACGTAATCAAATTGGATTTTGCTATTATTTCTGTTATCGCTTAATTCTCTACACTATAATCAATACTAGAATTGTCCTCTAAATTAGTGAATAAGAAAATAATAATTTTAGTTAAGTTCGATAATTATTTAAAC